TTTTTTTTTTCTTTTTTACTATTTTCAAAAGTATTAAGCTAACCTTGTATTTCCTCTATTATAAAAGATTTGAGAATAATTTTTTATTTTCATTTATTTTATTTTAAAAAAAGAAATTAAAATAGAAAGATTTTTTTTATAAGATGGTGTATAATTAAAATTAAGAAATAATTACGAGATTAAAGTATGAAATTTTTTTTATCTCCCTTAAAATATAAAAAAAACTACTATTATTATGGAATAAATTTCAAACAAAAAATGTTTATTATTTTAATATGTAAGGAGTAAATCACTAACAGTATATTTGGGTTGAAAAGTAAAAAAGAGGAGAGGGAAGGAAAGAAGTTTTTTCATTAATCATATTTTAATATTTACAAATCTTATAATTTGATTGATTAAAAATTTTTTTCTTCTCCTCCCTTCAACCTAAACAAATTTTGGATATTTCAAGACAAATTTCTTAATAATTCTCGTATTAATTTTCTAAAAATATTTGAACTTTTTATTGGGTTCACTCGCGTGTGTGTGGATAAATAGCTTGGAGATAAATGCAGTGTGAGCAGTAATGGTAAAAATATATTTTTAGTCCTTTACCTTATTAAATGTATAGGTTTTAATCTTTCATTTTACACTATGATACTTTCAGCCCTTCACCTATTAGAATTAAAAAAAAAAATAACCTTTACTTATAATATTTTATTAGTTTTGTTAATTGATTGTTAACTCTATTAGCCGATTATTAACTAACTGTTAGTTGGTAGAAACTTACTTTCAGCTAATAGAAACCTATTTTCAGCTAATAGAGTTAACAGTCAATTAATATAACTATTCTGTTAGTTGACTGTTAACTCTATTAGTTGAATGTTAGTTGATTGTTAATTGGCAAAAACCTACTTTCAGTTAACAGATTTAACAGTCAGTTAACATATTTAATAATCAGCTAACAAAACTAACAAAATATTATAAAATGAGGGTTGTTTTTTTTTTAATTCTAATAGGTAAGAGGCTAAAAGTGTTATAATATAAGGTGAGGGACTCAAACTTACAAATTTAGTTAGATAAAAAGCTAAATGTAGGTTTTTGCCACCAATAACAAGCTTGTTATCATTGCATTTTAGCAGTGTAGTAAATATTTACATTCCAATTTTAGTAGAAGCATGAACTGATAGGGGAAGGCTTTTCCAAAGTTTGTTGTAGACACCTGCCTTTTGTTTTAGAATACTTTTTAGTTCTTTACTTTTTTATTTTTATATTTTTTATTATTTTAAAAATATATAAAATATTAATTAAAATAAATATTTAATATATTAAATATGTTTTATATATTTTTAAGAGACTAAAAAGACTAAAAAATCTACGATTACTATCACGCCCCAGAACCCAAATCCGAAGCGCAACAAACGCCGTGCACTCGTGAGAGGATCCCACAAATGCACAAGGTTCGGAACTTATCAAATTCACAATCTGATACCATCAAAATCTGAATATCAAATTTTAAAATCTTCTTGATATCATAAATCTCCAATAAAGTCGAGTTTATAAGATCATGATTTATTTCTAAAATCTATATTAATCTCGAAATGGCTAGCCTCTAACTCGTCACTTCCCATGGTTTCCCCGTCCTCGACTTCGCTTCCTGAAATAGTGGACAAGGAAAACTATGAGATAAACTCAGTAAGTAAATATGGAGTGCCCTTAATCAATTTATAGCATGCCAACAAGTACAATCACAAAAAACGGATACAATACGGGAACAAAATAGACGTCTCCTATATAGTCACGACCAGTGTTATAAACCTCCCACTTACAGGCACACGATTTACTAGTGTATAATCCCACTAGCAGGATAACAGAAACAAACCGGTTCTATCAGTAACATGTTGACATGTGCTAGCATTTATAAACCTCCCACTAGCAGGCACACGAATAACATGACCATATTAGAGACAAAACAGGCAGAATTTAATAGAAAATCATACTTTACCAATCACTTTCAAATCATCACGACAATCAATTAATTTCAAGTAGGCATGCTCAATTCAATGGAAAACATAATAATTTCATTTCAAATTAGTCATACTTATTTTTGCATAAAACGGGTTTAGTCCCGCCACCACTTAAAAAACAAATCAAAACATATTTTTAAAAACTGTACGGGCATTACCATAAATTTACTTACCTCACTCGCATAACATAGAAAATTCACTCCATAAAATCGAAGACTCGATCTCAGTGCTAACTGACAAAACGATCAGCAACCTAATCAAAATATCCAAGAATAAATACCGTATTATCACAAATTCAAACTGAAATCATCATTAAGATCACTCTTAATCACAATGCTATTTCTATCGGTCTCCACATTATCAAACATCTCCAAATTTATTCTTATATCACAAACTAATCATTTAAAGAGGAATGCTAGCTGCACTTGCCTTTCTCCTGCACTCTCCAACATCGGCAAAAGGTACCCGTTTGCCCCTTAACTTTTCAACTTTTAGGGTTTTTACCCTCCATATTACAATACATGGATTTTTACCCTTAACGTTTTCAAGTTGAGGAAATGAGGCAAAATTTAACGCCGGAACGTCACGTGTAGCACGTGCA